CGAGCTAGTACACCCGGCGTACTCGTAGAGTACACCCAATGTACTTGGGTACGGACCAAAGTGAAAAGAGTTTACAAATAGGGTATTAAAGGAACAAACACCCAAATTGCAAATGTTACATTGATCTATGTTATGTACATGTATTATTCTTTCTTAATTGTAAAAATTATATTATTGTATTTATATTAGTGTGGTTTGCGGTATATATTTAGCTAAAAAAGGCAAATATATATATATATATATATATATATATATATATATATATATATATATATATATATATATATTTATTTATTGATAATGAATGTAACACAAGATACTTCGTCATTTAGGGCTGTGAATCTATTACATTATAGCAAGCCAATATACTCTTGGAACCTATTTAGTTTGATGTGAAACCATTCTTTCTAGACAAGTGTTGTATGTATTTAGCTAGATGAATTTGAACATTCGTTTTTCAATATCAAGTGACTATGAGTGATTTTAATTAGGCCCATGGTGTTTTTGTCCATATAGGTATATACGACGCAACAAATGTGGTTTATGAACAATTGTTGCCTCATGTCAATCAATACTTTCAACGCCAAGATGTAATTTTCCATACAAGTATATATGGGTGATGTTGATTAGGCACAACATGTTATCTTATTCTTAAATTTAATTAACTTGGGTGTTTTGTGACATACAATTATTTTTATTTATTTATTTATTTATTGTTGTATGCTCCAATGAGAGAGTTTTTGACCCGGTAGTCGAATGAAAAAGTTTATCCAAGTCATGAGCTTCTTCTAACTTGATGTGGATCATATGTTTTGAGGTGTGAAAGTGATGATGCAAACAAGCAAACCATGGCTGCACAATCTGTTTTCTTGAATGCTACACACCCTCTAGAATTTCTGAGAGACTAGTGCACATATGGTTTAGAGGAAAGAATTTATCATGATCATGATGTGGATACCTACTTAATATCCATTCGAGTGTTATCCGACATGAGCTTAACCGTGTTAGGAGGAGGTAAGAACATTTTTGGTGGCAATTTGTGGGTGTAAACGAATGTGTAATTTGTATGAAACTTTTAAACAATTTTAAATTATGTAATATGTATGTTTTGAGATTGTATGATATTTTAACGTTTGTGTACTTAAATTTATTGCTTTTGCTTTTTTTGTTTGAGAAAACTGGAAAAAAAAAAAGAACAGAATGTAAATTTTATACATCTACAGGGATGACATTTCGTTGCTATAGGTACGGCAATGGGAACGACATCTATACTTCATTTAATAATCTTTTAATTTTTTAAAGATATATAGCCATGAACCAACAATGACGATATGTTGTCTCTAAGGCTAAAATGTGTGATATTTTTTTGCCAATGGTAAAAGTGTGTCACATAAATGTCACGTTAGTATTGTCTTTCTTACTAATCTTTGCATATGATAAAGTGTGGGAATATTTTTGCCTTTCCAAACCACAACCATACACTACAAATCTTATATATTTTTCTAATGCATATATGTACAACACTTTGATACGGCTTCATAATGCACGCACATTGTTTTCATCGGCAGAAATAGAGAGATGACTGACAATATTCTGAGGATGACATATTGCCACCAACAAAAAAAAGGACCAAGGGGAGGTGTTTAACACCGGCAATATATACCACCTATGAATGTCGACGGTAACTAGAACACCCTTCAACCTAAAAGATTACATATGGCGACAAAAGTATTCATTGTGACGAGGCTATGGAGACGAAGGCTTTAGGGATTATTTTTTTGTCGCAGCCACCTATGGGACAACATTTAAACATATACCGAAAGCAAATGTCGTCTAGTTTGAAATATAATAAGAAAAATAAAAAACTAAAATCAATTACCAATAATGTAGAGTCACTTATTTTCTTCGCCTTGCAAGTTTCAAATATGGAAATTAGTTTGACCACTTTTTTTTATTTGACCACATGATATAAAAGTATGTAACAGTGATATTCTAACAGTTAAAATCGAAATCATGGCTAAAGTCATTGTTTGCGCCAAGAAAATATTTTATTTTATTTAGGTTATGGGGTGTAGTTACTACATGTTCATTAGAAAAGTGATGTCACATATTCACCACATCACATTCACTAAATGTTCAGCATGGCCGGCTCTATTTGTATCTCAACAAAGATAGAGCTTAGGGCCCCCACTTCAATGGACCCCAATTAATCAAATACCCAATACCTATTACCTCTAATGTCCATATTTAATTAGTGAATCGGGATCGCTAGCCTTCACGCACGCCTCAAAAATTCTGTTTATTTTCTTCTACAAGCGACCATTCTTCTTCTTCTTCTTCTCAATTCTCAGACTTTGAATCTCTGATTAGCGATTACGATGCTAGGCTCCTTCTCCATTCTCAGCTAGTCGGCTTCTCCATAACAACATAACTGATATTCCGATAACTCCTTCTCACACTTTGTACTTTTGTAGGTAAACTCCATTGCTCAAAAATCAAAACAATCACAATCTGATCATCTGAACTCTGAAGGAAAGATTCAAAGATCGATTACCTATCATCTACTCATCTGATTATCTATCACTGAAGGTAAACCGCATCAACCCATTGTTCAAAATTTTATGATATTTCTCAAACTAAAGTTCACTGTTACACTTCAAAGGTATTTTATAATTTCAGTTATACGTTATTACTTTGTGAATTGTGAATTGTAACACTAAGAGCCCCAAATTTTTGGTTCGCTTAGAGCCCCCAAACTTGTTAAGCCGCCTCTGATGTTCAATAGCTTTGGAAATGGTTATCACTCCATTTTGTTTATATATATATATATATATATATATATATATATATATATATATATATATATATATATATATATAGAGAGAGAGAGAGAGAGAGAGAGAGAGAGTCAAGATCAAATAAGAAGGAAATTTTTTTTTCTACATATTTTTTTAGTGAACATACAAAATGAATCATTAGATGATTCAAAGGTAAGATGATTCACAAGAAAAAATTCCCAAAAAACATCTTCAGGATTCATTTTTAAGTAAATTAAGAAAAAATTCAATTTTATGACAATTTTAGTGAATAACAACGAAATCATTGTATAAATGAATCATCGGTGTGTTTTTTTGAGATTTTTTTTTGGTGAATCATGTTATTTTTGATTCATCTAGTGATTCATTTCTTTTGTTCTTTAGAAAAGTATGTAGAAAAAAAACTTCTTACCTTCCTACCAAAAAAAATTATTACCGGATCTATATATATATATATATATATATATATATATATATATATATATATATAATATATATATATATATATATATTAAAATAAAAAAAAACATAATTAAATATTTCACATTACGTAACTAAAATTACTAAAAAAAACATAAAAACACAAAAATTTAAACCTAAATAACTAAAAAACCAAAGAAATAAACATAAAAATTAAAACGTTAAAACCTAATTTTCATACTTGTCCCGAACTTGTTGTTGGATTTTTAGAAACGCGGGTTGATTTTCCGGGTCGATATCCGGTTGCGGCTTCGTACTTAAAATTTGAAGATCGATAAGTGTGTGTTTCAGGCGCCAAATTTCCTCTGTTGTATCATTTTTTTTGTAAAAAACTTAGAGTTTTGTCAATTTTTCTGCAAGTACGTTGTTACTTGCTTTTCCGTTTGAAGAAGCCACCTTTTTCCTTTTATCCCTTCCCGGTGGTCGATGAAATTGGATTTCCGGCGGACCCTCCCCTTTGGTGCCATAGAAGTTGTCATTGAGGTCGACACCAAAACTCACATCCGACTCAGAAGTTCTTAGCCTTTTATTGGAGCCGGTGGTCGATTCCGAATGCAAAATTTTCGGGTAAAGGACCAATTTTGGACCCTTACGACAAATTTCTCACATTTTTTGGTGGTCGAACACTTTACCGCTGTTTGTAACCTTGTATTGTTGGCAAACGGTTGATAAAATATTAAAATCGTTGCTACCACTTTTATGCATATTTCAGATTTTCAAATATGTCATTAAACTTGGTGCAAGCTGCTCATAGTTGCGAAGTTCACGCCATTTTCCATTGACCACGTCGTATGTTCGACCTGCTTGCCTTCCCAAAAGCGAGTGAAAGTGATCTAAAACACGAAGCCAAAAACTGTTTCCTATTTGCATGTTGTCCGTCCTCGTATCACACGATATAGAAATCAAAGCTTTAGCAAAAACTTCCCCCTCAACTTCGTTCCAAATCGTTCCTCTTTTTTTTTTTTTTTTTTTTTTTTTTTTTTTTTTTGTAGCTGTTCCTTTTTGGTTGCTTTCTCCTAGATGGTTGTGTTTCTTCGACCCGGTCGTCATCGTCATCATCCAAGTTTATAGGTGGGGATTGAGATAAAGAGACATGAGATAGTTGTGTTTGGAATTGTTGAGATGGTTGTAATTGGAATTGTTGAGGTTGAAATTGTTGAAAACCTTGGAAGTGAGGTTCATTGAATTGTTGTAGTATTTGTTATTAGAAGTAGTTTGGTTGAAATGTAATGTTGATAAATAAAGGTTGTTATTTGTAGTGTTGAGATTGTTGGAATGATTGGAGTGGTTGGGTATTTGATTTTGATCGAAAAAAAGGAGAGAATGTGAAGCTGTTTGAATGGTTTGTGGTGTGAAATGATATAAAAATGCTGGTATTTGTATTGTTTTGTTTAAGTTTAAAAAATATAATTTATTTATTATTTTATTTTTTTCTTTTACGTTTCAACGGTCAAAATCGGTCAATATGTGACCGTTTGCTACAAATCAATGCCATTGGTCGTAAGAATGCGTAACTATCCTTGAGTCACACCACGATTATGTACTATGGAGCGGTGTTCACGCATAAACACTTCCGCCATGTCACCTTTTACGCGTAAAAATCTTCCCCCGAACCCTTCGGCTTTACACTATAAAAACCCAACATCTTTGTGAAAATTTATCAAGCTAGAACACGTGCTTGTACCTATTCTAACAGCTGAAATCATGGCTGTACCTTTTTATCATCTTCTTGTTCTTACAATATCAATACTATCCCACATACCAATATCATCATCGTCATCATCTTCTTCTTTCTTAACTAAAGGATCATCTCTATCTGTTGATAACGACGATGACATTTTAGTTTCACCCAACGGAATTTTCACCGCCGGTTTCCATCAAGTCGGAGAGAATGCTTATGGCTTTGCTGTCTGGTTCTCAGAGCAACCCACATCCCGGAGTCGTACAGTGGTCTGGATGGCTAACCGAGATGCACCCGTAAACGGAAAACACTCGACGCTGTTCATATCGGAAGATGGGAATCTTGCTTTGACAGATGCTGGTGATAATCGAAACTTCATTTGGTCAACACAGACGAAGTCAACATCTTCTTTACTGCAACTGCAACTCCATAGCACGGGTAACCTAGTGCTCAATGGAGGAGAAGAAAACCCTCTTTGGCAAAGCTTTGATCATCCCACAGATACCCTTCTTCCAAATCAATTCTTCACTAAGAAAACCCAACTTGTTTCTTCAAGAAGTTTCACTAATTACTCTTCAGGGTTCTATAAGCTCTTTTTTGATAACGATAGCATTCTTCGACTTCTTTATGATGGCCCACAAACAACTACTGTTTTCTGGCCTCATCCGAGTTTAGGAACTTTGGAAGCTGGGAGATTCCCGTATGTGGATATGCAAAGAGCAAGCCTCGATTCCGATGGTGAATTCAACTCATCTGATGGTTTTCGTTTCAGATCTGCTGATTTTGGAATGAGAGCGCAAAGATTTATGAAGATCGACACAGATGGCAACTTAAGAGTTTACAGTTTCGATGAAAGAAGATTGAAATGGGAAGTTCAATGGCAAGCATTTTCTAACCCTTGCCAGATTCATGGTTCTTGTGGTCCAAACAGTCTCTGTTCTTATTCTCCAGATTTAGGAAGGAGATGCGCTTGTTTACATGGATACAACATGGTGGATTCTCAAGAATGGAGTTATGGGTGTGAATCTGAATTCCAGCCATGCACGCAAAATGGGTGTGATGATTTCGTTGAGCTTCGTCATGTAGAATTCTATGGCTATGATCTTCGATTGATCATCAACTGCACTCTTGATGCTTGCAAGAAGGATTGCTTAAAGGATTACAATTGCAGGGGGTTCCAATTCGGATGGACGAAAGGCATCCCCTATTGCTACATAAAAGCTTCTTTGCATAACGGATATCAAATGGGAGGAATCAAGGCTTTGATGTATATCAAACTACCAAAGAGATTAGTATCATCTTTTAATCAGAAACCCATCATCCAATCAAGTTTCAGTTGTTCACACCCTGTGCTCGTTCCCATAATGAGGACTTACAAGACAAAATATGATATGACTTCGAAGTCGCTTGAATTCATGCTATTATTCGGATGCATGTTAGGGTTCATTGAGATCGTTTGTGTTGTGATATTCTGGTATCGTAGCAGTAAACACTCATCCACAACCACAACTGAGCAAACTTATTTTCTAGCTGCTATAGAGTTTCGAAGATTCACATACAGCGAGTTGAAGAAGGCATCACGCAATTTCAGTGAAGAGATTGGGAGAGGTGGTGCTTCCATCGTGTATAAAGGCAGGTTAGCAGACAACAGGATCGCAGCAATTAAGAGGATCACGAACACTAATCGCCAAGGAGAAGCTGAGTTTCAAGCTGAAATAAGCACGATTGGGAGGCTGAATCACATGAACTTGATACAGACATGGGGTTATTGCGCTGAAGGAAAGCATAGGCTTGTTGTATATGAGTATATGGAGAAAGGATCATTGGCTGAAAATTTAAGCTCTGATCATAAACTTGATTGGGCGACTAGGTTTGATATAGCGAAAGGCATTGCAAAAGGGTTAGCTTACTTACATGAAGAATGCTTGGAGTGGGTCCTACATTGCGATGTGAAACCCCATAACATATTGTTGGATGCGAATTACAACCCTAAAGTTGCAGATTTTGGTTTTTCCACATTGTTGGACAGAAGAAGTGGTATCGGCCAATGGAACTTCTCCATGATACGAGGGACTCGAGGTTATATGGCTCCTGAATGGGTTTTAAACCTTCCGATTACCTCAAAAGTTGATGTGTTTAGCTATGGGGTGGTGATAATGGAGATGATAACAGGAAGAAGTCCAGCAAGCATGAATGAAAATGACGAGATTAAGCGTGCCCTAATTGATAGGGTGAGAGATAGGATTGATGGGTTTGATGAGATTGTGGATCCTTGGATAAGGGACCAATACGATGAGACTGTGATGGAGAATCTTGTTAAAATTGCATTACAGTGTGTTGAGGAAGACAGAGAGGCAAGACCCTCAATGAGACAAGTAGTTGATATGCTTCTCTATGCCTGACTTTCAAGTGTAGATTAATAAAAGGGATTTTGGTTTCTTTGAAAATTATCTATGTTGGATCCGGATAATTACAAATTAAAACAATATCATTTTTCACAAGGTTTTCAAGATCGTTTTGCTCGGCATCTTACTTAAGATCGTTTTGCTTTTGCAAGATCATTATCGTAAAATTGCATCGGGATCGAAAGATCCTATCAAAATAAACTTATATTTAAATTTGCTCTCATGATGTCGATAACGGAATCAACTTTAACTGTTTAAGCATGAACCATGATTTTCTTTGCTATAAATCATAAAGATTAAGAGGAAAACATCTTAATTAGAAAAAAAACAAAAAATAGCTTAATCATGTACAATTAAAGATAAAAGATCACAAAGATATTATTAAGGGTGTGTTGTGTCTAATTCGTCTCTAATTCAAGATGTATTTATGAAAGAGTGATGTTTTACAACATTTTTTGCAACATGCGTTTTTAACTTGAATATACAAATTTTTGAGACTTAACTATATAATAAACGAATGAGGTGAGATCTGAATCGTTTTTGACTTATAGAATCATAAAATTATAAGATTTTAAGATCAAAATCAGTATTTTAACGATGTTTTAAGAAAAATAAAAATCCATAAGCATGATTTTGGTTAAATATTAATAAAAATTATATTTTTCTGCTGTTCGTCTCTTCCCTCATTTAGCACAACCCATGTATTTTTGTAAAGAGAAAATTATCATTATTAATAAAAAAAAAATATAAAAACCGATACTTCAATTGATGTTAAAAATCAAGTTGATATGATCATTAAAAGATATAAGCCATCAAAAAAACTTGATCGGAATTATATTTCTTGTATATGTAAATTACAATTAAAACTTTGTTTTAGTTAAATACTAGGTTATAATCGTGTATTATATGGTTGATAAATTTTAAAAATATTATTAATTTTTTAGTACATAAATAACAGTCCCGGAAAGGAGAATATTATATAAGGAAAATTTTTATTTATTTTCCAGTCGATGTTCGAAATCTTGAAAAACAAAGATTATTTTACATTGTAAAATGCTATAAATTATAGTTTTCAGAAAACACAATTTTATATAAAAAAATATATTTTTTAAAATTTCACTCTATATTTGAAATCCTCAAAAAGATGTCATTTTATAAAGTATGATACTATAAATAATAATTTCCAAAAAATAGAATCTTATATTATAACGTTTGTTTTTTTTCTAGTTCAAGTTCAAAATCCTTAGAAAAATACAATTTTAAAAATTATATTATCATAAAACCATAATATTTTAAAAAAAAAATGGACCATATTTATTTTCATATACTAATGGATGTTATTTTGTAAATAATATAGTGGTTACATATATAATTAATATATTATATGATAATTACGAAATACAAATTAATCATACAAATTAAAATCTACTAAACTAAATATAAGCACCACAAGAGAAATGATACTAGGATCACAATGTAAAAAGTTGTAAATAAACAAAGTAATATTAAATTTACATTACTCATAATCTCTTAAACAAATTATCAAATATCCTTGGCAAAAAACTTAAAAAATCATAATATATGATATTATGATCATTTAAAGCAAATATAGTTAAATTTTGGTTTACTATTACAATTGATGAGATTGGAGCACCACTTCTATAGTTCATTCACGAATCAATCACTATTTGACTAGTTACAATGTACCATCATTTGTATCATATGGGAACTTGGATACAGGTTAACAAGACTTGACCTATTCAACCATTTAGTCCTACAAATCTTGCATAGAATAACTTTTGGGCCTACAAAGATTATTACATATTTTCATGTTGTTTTTATTATTATTAGATAATAGTATCCCAAGACAAGATGTAAATACATTGCTTGGCTTATTTTTATTATTATTAGATAATAGTATCCCAAGACAAGATGTAAATACATTGCTTGGCTTATTTAGGAAATGTTGGATATTTGACCCAAAGTCCACAATTTTTATGAAGTTAAAAAACGTGCACGATGTAAGTGTTTAGGTAAGTTCCTGCCACCAAAATTGCATTTCACTGTCAATTTGTTCTTTATTCATTCTATATATCAAATATTAGTACAATTTAGAGCATCTACTTATACTATTCTATAACTTAAAACAAGCTACATATCATCATTCTTTTGATCCCGATTTCTAAATAAATAAATACTCAAATAATTAAAATTATTTACATAGTTTTTTTTTTCATAAATGTAACTACTTTACCCTCATTTTTCTAAAATGTGTTATAAAACTTCCTTATTTAATTAGTCTATTTCGAAACAAAAATAATATTTTAATATGAATATATTAATACAAATATATCGATTCATTATTTATACACATAAAATATGAAAAAAAAATTATGTTATAGTTAAAAAATAAAATAAAAACATTGAAATTATTATATTATCGTCATAAAAGTTATATTTATAAATAAAATTTATTAAATAGTTAATAGGAATAATTAATTAGTAAAGAAATAAAAAAAATACTTAAAACTAAATTATAATTAAAGAGGTAAATTGAAATATGATTGAAATATAAAAGGTTAAATGTACAAGTTGTGAAAATAAATTGACCACTTAATATATAGAGTGGTCAAAATAAAAAAAAAAGTAAAAAAAGTTATCTACTTCAATGGAAATAATAATCAAGTAAAAAAATGCATGTTAATAAGTTATTTAAAAAAAAAAAAAAAAAAAAAAAAAAAAAACTCATTGAATGTAACACCCCGAAATATCAAGAGTAGAGTTGAAGGGCTAAAAGTGTAAATCTTGAAAGGCAACTCGGCGAGTCCATGGATGGACTCGGCGAGTAGGGTCGCGACTTTGGTCGCGTGTCAAGTGGCCTACTCGGCGAGTCCAAAGATGGACTTGGCGAGTAGGTGCTGAGTGGAGAAAACCCTAATTCTCGGGGTTGAGCCCTATATAAAGAACTTAACATCCATTCCCCTAGCCTCTTTACTCATCCTCAAGTCCAGAAACCCTTAGCATTCGTGTGTGTGTGTGTGTATCAAAGTGCATTTGGGAGCTTGAAGGGTATTTGTTGAAGAAATCTTGGGAGTTTGGAGGCTTGGAGCAAGGGGCTTTGCTTGGATTCGAGTTTCATTGCAGTTGGGGCGTTCTTTTGAGGTAATATCTTGTTCTTGGGCTGTTACTCATATGGATTCATCATTTTGGGGTTTATGGGAGCTTATCTTGGTATGTTTTGGAGTTTGGAGGTTAGATCTGAGGTTGCTACCTCAGATCTGGAATGGGGAAGGTCTAGAGTGCATTAAAGTCCCTGTGTTTGAGTGCTTAGTGAAGCCATCATGTCCCAAACCCTAGTCTAAAGTGTATAAGGCCTAGATCTCTTTGGATTCACGTAAAGTTTGCCACTTTACGTGATGGATGGGTTGTAGGAGGCTAGATCTATGTTTTGGATCAATTGCATGGCCTGGAACGCTTCTGTATGGATTCAGACCGGTGGTACTCGGCGAGTCACAAGGGTGGACTCGACGAGTTGCTTGAAGATGAGCTGGAACTCGACGAGTTGGATGAACAACTCGGCGAGTAGGTTGAAGATAGCCTTAGACTCGGCGAGTCTGTTCTTGGACTCGGCGAGTCTTGTCGAAGAGTCCCAATATTTTCTGGTTGAGTCGAGAATCGGTGAGTCAAGGGATGACTCGGTGAGTTGGGTGCGAGTGGACTCAGAGTTGTTGGACTCGGCGAGTCTCGGGGTGACTCGGCGAGTCAGGTCGCGGATTGAGGGAAGTTCTGAGCTTGGGGACTCGGCGAGTCATCGGGTTGACTCGGCGAGTAGAGTCAGTCAGGGGTTGACTTTGACCGTTGTCCAGAGTTGACTAGTTTGACTTTGTAGTGTTAGTCAGCCAGGATCAAGGTGGTATTAAGTAGAGATATGCTTGTGTTGTAGGAGGACGATAGCTCGGGAGATCGAGCGCTACGCGAGGTGAGTCTTCTCACTATACTTTACCTTGAGTAGGTAACCAGAGTTATGTGACAGAGTATTTGTATGCTATGTATGTTATGTGTTGTACTGCATTATTTCTATGTGATTTATGTTGTGCATGTTTACAGAGTTAGAACCGTAAGGTTCATAGAGTTAGAACCGTAAGGTTCACAGAGTTAGGACCTGAGGGTTCACAGTTGGGTGCACGGACCCATAGAGTTATAGCCTTGAGTGGCTAATATGTGTTATATGTAGTATTTTGGGGAACTCACTAAGCTTTGTGCTTACAGTGTTTGATGTTAATTGTTTCAGGTACTAGTGACGATCGCGAGAAGGCGCCGACTTGATCAGTACACACGCACGGGATTTATGATTTTGAGATCTTGGGATTTTGTATTACTTGGATTGAACGATTGAAAATGGTTGTTTTATGAATATTGAATGAATTATGTTTTATAAAAATTTGAAAATTTTGTTTTGAAATTTACGGTGTTACAATTTGATATCAGAGCCTTGGTTTGATGGATTCGGATGCACCTCCGGGCGTATTTGAACTCAAACCGAGGATTTGAGAAATTTTACAACCAAAACTACAAATTTTCTAAAAAGAAAAAGAAGTTTTGGAGACAAGCAGAGTGGAAGTTGTGTACGGTCAGCCAGCGCCCGAACGGTGAATCCCCAAAATACCCTTACTTTTGTGTTATGAGATATTTATGATGCACTTTATGAGATATTATTGCATGCTAGGGACAGGCTAGGTATTCCATATCTTAGGACTATGGTGGCCTGATTTGTGATGCCTTAGCCTAGGGATTGCTGTTTTATGCGATGTGCTTTTGAGTATGTGATGAGTGAGAATATTTAGTTGGAATCCTTGAGGGGATTCGAGTAGAAGAGTAATCTAAGGGAGATACCTAGATAAGTACCGTGGTACTTAGCAAAGGAGTAGTTAAAACCCGCGAGGGGAAGAGTTGCAGAGTTCGGTGGTACTTTCGGGGATGAGCTGAGCAAGCGGAGT